GCTAGGCCACTCCAGGACCTTGAAATGCTTCTTACGAAGCCACTCCTTCGTTGCCCGGGCGGTGTGTTTGGGACCCAGCCACGTTTCATCTTCAATGCCCTTGCTGATGGAAGGAGGTTTTCACTCAAAATCTCACGATACATGGCCCCATTCATTCTTTCCTTTGCACGGATCAGTCGTCCTGGTCCCTTTGCAGAAAAACAGCCCCAAAGCATGATGTTTCCACCCCCATGCTTCACAGTAGGTATGGTGTTCTTTGGATGCAACTCAGCATTCTTTGTCCTCCAAACACGACGAGTTGAGTTTTTACCAAAAAGTCATATTTTGGTTTCATCTGACCATATGACATTCTCCCAATCCTCTTCTGGATCATCCAAATGCACTCTAGCAAACTTCAGACGGGCCTGGACATGTACTAGCTTAAGCAGGGGGACACGTCTGGCACTGCAGGATTTGAGTCCCTGCCGGCGTAGTGTGTTACTGATGGTAGGCTTTGTTACTTTGGTCCCAGCTCTCTGCAGGTCATTCACTAGGTCCCCCCGTGTGGTTCTGGGATTTTTGCTCACTGTTCTTGTGATCATTTTGACCCCACGGGGTGAGATCTTGCGTGGAGCCCCAGATCGAGGGAGATTATCAGTGGTCTTGTATGTCTTCCATTTCCTAATAATTGCTCCCACAGTTGATTTCTTCAAACCAAGCTGCTCACCTATTGCAGATTCAGTCTTCCCAGCCTGGTGCAGGTCTACAATTTTGTTTCTGGTGTCCTTTGACAGCTCTTTGGTCTTGGCCATAGTGGAGTTTGGAGTGTGACTGTTTGAGGTTGTGGACAGGTGTCTTTTATACTGATAACAAGTTCAAACAGGTGCCATTAATACAGGTAACGAGTGGAGGACAGAGGAGCCTCTTAAAGAAGAAGTTACAGGTCTGTGAGAGCCAGAAATCTTGCTTGTTTGTAGGTGACCAAATACTTATTTACCACCATAATTTGCAAATAAATTCATTACAAATCCTACAATGTGATTTTCTGGAAAAAATGTTTCTCAATTTGTCTGTCATATTTGACGTGTACCTATGATGAAAATTACAGGCCTCTCTCATCTTTTTAAGTGGGAGAACTTGCACAATTGGTGGCTGACTAAATACTTTTTTCCCCACTGTAATTACAAGCAGTCCATAAGTGTCAAAGGATTTGATTGACAATTACATTAAGTTTATGTAAAGAGTCAATATTTGCAGTGTTGACCCTTCTTTTTCAAGACCTCTGCAATCTGTCCTGGCATGCTGTCAATTCACTTCTGGGCCACATCCTGACTGATGGCAGCCCATTCTTGCATAATCAATGCTTGGAGTTTGTCAGAATTTGTGGAGTTTTGTTTGTCCACCCGCCTCTTGAGGATCGACCACAAGTTCTCAATGGGATTAAGGTCTGGGGAGTTTCCTGGCCATGGACCCAAAATGTTGATGTTTTGTTCCCCGAGCCACTTAGTTATCACTTTTTCCTTATGGCAAGGTGCTCCATCATGCTGGAAAAGGCATTGGTCGTCAACAAACTGTTCTTGGATGGTTGGGAGAAGTTGCTCTCGGAGGATGTGTTGGTACCATTCTTTATTCATAGCTGAGTGCTTCTCAGCCCACTCCCTTGGCTGAGAAGCAACCCCACACATGAATGGTCTCAGGATGCTTTACTGTTGGCATGACACAGGACTGATGGTAGCGCTCACCTTGTCTTCTCCTCACAAGGTATTTTCCGGATGCCCCAAACAATCGGAAAGGGGATTCATCAGAGAAAATGACTTTACCCCAGTCCTCAGCAGTCCAATCCCTGTACCTTTTGCAGAATATCAGTCTGTTCCTGATGTTTTCCTGGAGAGAAGTGGCTTCTTTGCTGCCCTTCTTGACCCCAGGCCATCCCGCACTCACACCTGCCTGCTGCCATTCCTGAGCAAGCTCTGCACTGGTGGTGCCCCGATCCTGCAGCTGAATCAACTTTAGGAGACGGTCCTGGCGCTTGCTGGACTTTCTTGGGCGCCCTGATGCCTTCTTCACAACAATTGAACCTCTCTCCTTGAAGTTCTTGATGATCCGATAAATGGTTGATTTAGGTGCAATCTTACTAGCAGCAATATCCTTGCCTGTGAAGCCCTTTTTGTGCAAAGCAATGATGACGGCACGTGTTTCCTTGCAGGTAACCATGGTTAACAGAGGAAGAACATTGATTTCAAGCACCACCCTCCTTTTAAAGCTTCCAGTCTGATATTTTAACTCAATCAGTATGACAGAGTGATCTCCAGCCTTGTCCTCGTCAACACTGTCACCTGTGTTAACGAGATAATCACTGACATGATGGCAGCTGGTCCTTTTGTGGCAGGGCTGAAATGCAGTGGAAATGTTTTTTGGGGGATTAAGTTCATTTTCATGGCAAAGAGGGACTTTGCAATTAATTGCAATTCATCTGATCACTCTTCATGACATTCCGGAGTATATGCAAATTGCCATCATCAAAACTGAGGCAGCAGACTTTGTGAAAATTAGTATTTGTGTCATTCTCAAAACTTTGGACCACGACTGTACATCTACAGGTTTTGGAGAGGTGCAGGGGGCTGGCACGCTGGGAGCTGTTGTTTGTAGAATTTGTCAAGGTCCAAATACTACCTTGAGATGCACACAAGAAACTTAACAGAAGATTTGTGCTAAGATCCGAGTGGTATTAGAATATTTGAATCCTCCTACTCCTATTAGAATATGATTACTATTATAATGCTCCTCTCTCTCTCTCTTTAAGAAAGAGTTATTCATGGGCATAATGAATTACTGCTAAGTAGTAATCCATCATTAATACTCTCTCTCACATGTTTAGCCGTCTCATCTGCATGATATCCTTTTGATTCGTACACTGATGATCTATCTGCATGTCTCTCTCTAAAGATCCAGACATGAGCTGCACAACTACACAGCTGCTTTTTTAAGTAGGATTAATTCAGCCGTGCGTCACCTAATTATGCATGAGGAGTCTGATTGCTAAACGTCCAATCAGGATGTGATTGTGAGAGGAGCTTGGGGAGCAGAACTCTTCGCTTTTATTGTGTGGTGACCAACAACCTATAAATAGACTGTGACATCCTCTGGGCCCTGACATGTTCATCAATAGAGACTTTATATGATATAGCAGCTGACTTTCAGCTTGCTTAATAGGATGTTAGATGTTGTTGATTTGACCATGTGACAGTCATGTATTAGAGCTGGTTTGACCATGTGACAGTCATGTATTAGAGCTGGTTTGACCATGTGACAGTCATGTATTAGAGCTGGTTTGACCATGTGACATGTATTAGAGCTGGTTTGACCATGTGACAGTCATGTATTAGAGCTGGTTTGACCATGTGACAGTAATGTATTAGAGCTGGTTTGACCATGTGACAGTCATGTATTAGAGCTGGTTTGACCATGTGACAGTCATGTATTAGAGCTGGTTTGACCATGTGACAGTCATGTATTAGAGCTGGTTTAATGTATTAAATACTTTTCTCTATTGTTTTCACCTCTTCCAGATGAAAATGATTAACAGATATTGCTCTCCGGATGATCAGGTATGTTCTCATGCAAGGCGCTATAACTATCTTCATCTATAACCTGCTTAATCTATAACTATCTTTAACTATAACTATTTTAAACTATAACTAAGACTTATCCACTCGTAGTATGTAGGTTAAAGAGAATGGATTACCTTGTTTCTGCAGATCGTCCACATGGGTTGGGTGTGTGAAAACCCACAAGCTAACGATGCTGGTCCATCAAGTACCTTCAAGTTCCTGGCATTGAGAGGCCCTTCGCTGTTCATCTTCAGGAATCCTCCTGTATGAACCCCCCCCTTTATTTATTAACTGTTAAGAGTCCAAAGACTAACAAGTTCAGCTCTTATTCAACCATGATAGCCCATACATTTTCTCTTTAGCTAGGAGCATGTTGGTGGGCTACATACAATGTAGAGTTATAACAGTTATTCTGGACCTTTTTGTATTCATATACTGAACAAAATTATATAAACGCAACATGCAACAATTTCAAAGATTTTGCTAAGTAACAGTTCATATAAGGAAATTGAAATAAATAAATTAGGTCCTAATCTATGGATTTCACATGACTGGGCAGGGGCGCAGCCTTGGGTGGGCCTGGGAGGGAATAGGCCCACCGACTTCGGGGCCGTCTGTGTAATGATCATGCTGTTTAATCAGCTTCTTGATATGCCACACCTGTCAGGTGGATGGATTATCTTGGCAAAGGATAAAATAATCACTAACAGGGATATAAACAAATTTGTGCACAAAATTGGAGGGAAATAAACTTTTTTTTTGCGTATGGAAAACTTCTGGGATGTTTTTATTTCATCTCATGAAACATGGGACCAACACTTTACATGTCGCATTTATATTTTTGTTCAGTATACTTTACAATTACATCATCTATTTTTGAACTGAGTTTTGAGCTGTACCCCAAACCACCCACTAAACAATTAATGGGTAACCGTTTGTCTTCCCTATTTCAGAGGTTAAGTTATTTGGTTTGAGTAAGATGGGTTAATAAGTTAAATGCAGAACTTCCAAATGCTGTCTATCAAGCACACTGTGTGTTGGCTTATTTATTATGGTTCAGTGTGCCTGTACGATAATATATATACACACACTTTTGTCCCCCCCATTCTTAGGTTAGTGCAACAGACTGGGGACAAGCTGAAACCACGCATATCCTTTATGAGGTTCTGTTAAAGGTTCACAAGGTATGTTCAATGTTCACATGCAGAATAAAGATAACAGCACCGAATGTTATCGAAATTTGCATTATGTGCATGTGCACTTGCAACGTTTGCACGAATCATGCACTGATGTCCGTGTTAGATCTACCCTAACATGGGAGCAGTAGCCTATACATCTCAAGTTGGGAGTTTTTGCTTCCAGTTAATAGAACTGATGAGGCTCCATGTTGTGTTGGATGCGGTGTTGCAGCTGTGGATGGCAGAGGACTGCTGGATCCAGGCCAGGTTCTACCTTGGACTCCAGCAGGACGAGGAATTGCAGGACGGAGAGCCTTTCTGTTTCAGTGTCCTGGTCGGACACGGCCAGAGCCACACCTTCAGTGTGGAGACGACCTCTGACCTCGCTGTGTGGGAGAAGTCCTTCCAAAGAGCAGTCTTCATGGAGGTGCAGAGAGTAGGGGTGAGTGGAACAGCAAATTAGGTTTGTTCGGCAATGATTTGATGCTCTCCGGAGTCAAAGGTTCTTATAAGTGGTGCTGAGATACTGTATGACTGACATTTTACACACTTTGAACTGGGCCACATTCCCCAAAGAGCTTTCATAGTGTTATCACAATGACACATTTTAACTGCAGCAAATTCGATGCCAACACATTAACTCCAGCAGTGCATTCATTTTGATAATGTGTTCCATTTAGTGGATTATTCTAGAATAGTACTTAGGGCTCTATTTTAACAAACCTAACACAATGGTAAATCTAAGTGCATAGGTTCAGGGGTGTGTTAGAAATATTTTGATATACTTTGATGAATAAACAAGTTGTGGGTCAAGTCTTGGCCCCTCACTCCATGGCGAAATATGTGGTTGCTTCAAGTTGTGTACATTTACATTTGTAAAAATTTTCGTCATTTAGCAGACGCTCAAGTGTCTCCGGAAGTCCTGTGAGTGACTCCGCTGTCCTGGCGTCGTGAGGGAGCTTGTTCCACCATTGGGGTGCCAGAGCAGCGAACAGTTTTGACTGGGCTGAGAGGTAGGGGGGCCAGCAGGCCAGAGGTGGATGAACGCAATGCCCTCGTTTGGGTGTAGGGACTGATCAGAGCCTGAAGGTACGGAGGTGCCGTTCCCCTCACAGCTCCGTAGGCAAGCACCATGGTCTTGTAGCAGATGCGAGCTTCAACTGGAAGCCAGTGGAGTGTGCGGAGGAGTGGGGTGACGTGAGAGAACTTGGGAAGGTTGAACACCAGATGGGCTGCGGCGTTCTGGATGAGTTGTAGGGAGCCCAGCCAACAGCGAGTTGCAGTAATCCAGACGGGAGATGACAAGTGCCTGGATTAGGACCTGTGACGCTTCCTGTGTAAGGCAGGGTCGTACTCTGCGAATGTTGTAGAGCATGAACCTACAGGATCGGGTCACCGCCTTGATGTTAGCAGAGAACGACAGGGTGTTGTCCAGGGTCACGCCAAGGCTCTTCGCACTCTGGGAGGACACAACGGAGTTGGCAACCGTGATGGCGAGATCATGGAACGGGCAGTCCCTCCCCGGGAGGAAGAGCAGCTCCGTCTTGCCGAGGTTCAGCTTGAGGTGGTAATCCGTCATCCACACTGATATGTCTGCCAGACATGCAGAGATGTGATTCGCCACCTGGTTATCTGAAGGGGGAAAAGAGAAGATTAATTGTGTGTCGTCTGCGTAGCAATGATAGGAGAGGCCATGTGAGGATATGACAGAGCCAAGTGACTTGGTGTATAGCGAGAATAGGAGAGGGCCTTGAACTGAGCCCTGGGGGACATAAGTGGTGAGAGAGAACGTGGTGCGGAGACAGATTCTCGCCACGCCACCTGGTAGGAGCGACCTGTCAGGTAGGACGCAATCCAAGAGCGAGCAGCGCCGGAGATGTCCAACTCGGAGAGGGTGGAGAGGAGGATCTGATGGTTCACAGTATCAAAGGCAGCAGATAGGCTTGGAAGGACGAGAGCAGAGGAGAGAGAGTTAGCTTTAGCAGTGCGGAGAGCCTCCGTGACACAGAGAAGAGCAGTCTCAGTTGAATGACCAGTCTTGAAACCTGACTGGATCAAGAAGGTCATTTTGAGAGAGATAGCAAGAGAGTTGGCTAAAGACGGCACGCTCAAGAGTTTTGGAGAGAAAAGAAAGAAGGGATACTGGTCTGTAGTTGTTGACATCGGAGGGATCGAGTGTAGGTTTTTTGAGAAGGGGTGCAACTCTTGCTCTCTTGAAGACGGAAAGGACGTAGCCAGCGGTCAAGGATGAGTTGATGTGCGAGGTGAGGTAAGGGAGAAGGTCTCCGGAAATGGTCTGGAGAAGAGAGGAGGGGATAGGGTCAAGCGGGCAGGTTGTTGGGCGGCCGGCCGTCACAAGTCGCAAGATTTCATCTGGAGAGAGAGGGGAGAAAGAAGTCAAAGCATAGGGTAGGGCAGTGTGAGCAGGACCAGCACTGTCATTTGACTTAACAAACGAAGATCGGATGTCGTCAACCTTCTTTTCAAAATGGTTGACGAAGTCATCCATGCTGTCACAGTCACTAGCCCATTCAAGCTTAACATCCTCGTCATTTATCGCCCTCCAGGTTCCCTTGGAGAGTTCATCAATGAGCTTGACGCCTTGATAAGTTCCTTTCCTGAGGATGGCTCACCCCTCACAGTTCTGGGTGACTTTAACCTCCCTACGTCTACCTTTGACTCATTTCTCTCTGCCTCCTTCTTTCCACTCCTGTCCTCTTTTGACCTCACCCTCTCACCGTCCCCCCCTACTCACAAGGCAGGCAATACGCTTGACCTCATCTTTACTAGATGCTGTTCTTCTACTAATCTCACTGCAACTCCCCTCCATGACCACTGCGCCACCTCCCGAGTGGCGCAGTGGTCTAAGGCACTGCATCGCAGTGCTAGCTGTGACACTAGAGATCCTGGTTCGAATCCAGGTTCTGTCGTAGCCGGCCGTGACCGGGAGACACATGGGGTGGCGCACAATTGGCCCAGGGTAGGGGAGGGAATGGCCGGCAGGGATGTAGCTCAGTTGGTAGAGCATGGCGTTTCCATGTCAGGGTTGTGGGTTCGATTCCCACGTGGGGCCAGTATATAATGTATGTACTCACTAACTGTAAGTCGCTCTGGATAAGAGCGTCTGCTAAATGACGTAAATGTAAAATGTCTCCGACCACTACTTTGTATCCTTTTCTCTCTTGCTCTCCTCCAACACTACTCACTCAGCCCCTACTCAGATGGTTATGCGCCGTCGCAACCTTCGCTCTCTCTCTCCCGCTACCCTCTCCTCTTCCATCCTATCATCTCTTCCCTCTGCTCAATCCTTCTCCCTCCAATCTCCTGATTCTGCCTCCTCAACCCTCCTCTCCTCCCTTTCTGCATCCTTTGACTCTCTATGTCCCCTATCCTCCCGGCCGGCTCGGTCCTCCCCTCCTGCTCCGTGGCTTGACGACTCATTGCGAGCTCACAGAACAGGGCTCCGGGTAGCCGAGCGGAAATGGAGGAAAACTAGACTCCCTGCGGACCTGGCATCTTTTCACTCCCTCCTCTCTACATTTTCTTCCTCTGTTTCTGCTACTAAAGCCACTTTCTACCACTCTAAATTCCAAGCATCTGCCTCTAACCCTAGGAAGCTCTTTGCCACCTTCTCCTCCCTGCTGAATCCTCCTCCCCCTCCCCCCTTCCTCCCTCTCATTTACATTTACTTTTACGTCATTTAGCAGACCCTCTTATCCAGAGCGACTTACAAATTGGTGCATTCACCTTATAGCCAGTGGGATAACCACTTCTCCACCACACTCTCCTCAGGAAAGGAACTTATCAAGGCGTCAAGCTCATTGATGAACTGGAGGGCGATAAATGATAAGGATGTTAAGCTTGAATGGGCTAGTGACTGTGACAGCATGGAATTCAAATGAGGAGATAGACAGATGGGTCAGGGGAGAAAGAGAGAATGTCCACCTGGGAGAGATGAGGATTCCTGTGCCACCACCCTGCTGACCAGATGCTCTCGGGGGTATGCGAGAACACATGGTCAGACGAGGAGAGAGCAGCAGGAGTAGCAGTGTTTTCTGTGGTAATCCATGTCTCCGTCAGCGCCAAGAAGTCGATGGACTGGAGGGTAGCATAGGCTGAGATGAACTCTGCCTTGTTGGCCGCAGAAAGGCAGTTCCAGTGGCTGCCAGAGACCTGGAACTCCACGTGGGTCGTGCGTGCAGGGACCACCAGGTTAGAGTGGCAGCAGCCACGCGGTGTGAGGCGTTTGTATAGCCTGTGCGGAGAGGAGAGAACAGGGTGTATTTACAGTCTTTTATGTATTGCCTTGGAATCAACTCCAATTCCAATATTAGTCTGTTATGGTTTGTTAAATGGCTTACAGAAACGAAACAACAAAATGTAGACCTATCTTTGCTAAATAGTTAGCTTGAACCCATTTGCAGTCCACATAGTTCTAAGTAATTGCATGGCTTCAATAGCATTCACACTGATATAGGGGCTAGGCCTACTGTAAATTGCATTATGGCTGAGCATGGACATGCCAAACATTGTCAATTAGCAAGATTAAATTAATTACTGATAAGGCCTAAAAAGAGAACAAATAATTCTAATCAAATTCTAAACAAAACTGAACAACTTGTTTTAAATAGGCTATGTATAAATACAGTTACAGGTCCCATAGTTTCTCCCCATGGGCATATAATATTAAAACAACGCAGACTATGGAGGGTTTTACGCACATCCAGACTTTTCACAGTAGCTGGACAAAGATCCAATATGAAGACAAAGGGAGAATGTCCACTCACTGTTATACTGCTCCCAAATAGGCCTATGTTTTCTGAACATAATCGGAACCATCTTTCAGATCAGATCGCATTCACACTTGTCCAGAAGTTGCATTGCATGCGCTCCATGGACGTTGTAACCATAAAACCAGGAAGGTGAATCATTCTAATAAGATTGGTTTTAAAAAAAATGTATGTAACCCCTTTTTCTCCCCAATTTCGTGATTACGATCTTGTCTCATCGCTGCAACTCCCCAACGTGCTCGGGAGAGGCGGAGGTCGAGTCATGCGTCCTCTGAAACATGATCCACCAAGCCGCACTTCCTAACACCCGCTCGCTTAACTGGAAACCAGCTGCACCAATGTGTTGGAGGAAACACCATTCAACTGATGACCGAAGTCAGCCTGCAGGCGCCCATCCCACCACAAGGAGTCGCTAGAGCGAGATGAGCCAAATATAGCCCCCCCCCTATTGTTACAGGTTACAGATCACTTCTAAATACGAGGTTCACCGCTATTCATCGAGGTTCTCATCTCTCGTTTCATGATGGGCACGGACACGTAGCCTACATCATGGAGGGGGTTTTACGCACGTCCAAAGCGGGACCTGCATGGCTAAAATAATGTGGGCCTGCCTACAATACATAGATAAAAAGGGAATGTCAGCTCACTGTTTTACTCCTCTCAAACTTGATATTTTAATAAAGCTTTGGTGATTTAAGATTTATTTCCAAGCGGTCTCAGGAACCAAACCCTTTATTGACAGTCTTGACTACTTCGCAGTGGTGGAAAAAGTACTCAATTCTCATACTTGAGTAAAAGTAAAGATACCTTAATAGAAAACGACTCAAGTAAAAGTGAAAGTCAGCCAGTAAAATACTACTCGAGTAAAAGTCTAAAAGTATTTGGTTTTAAATATACTTAAGTATCAAAAGTAAATGTAGTTGCTAAAATATACTTACGTATCAAAAGTAAAAGTACGAATAATTAAAAATTCCTTATATTAAGCAAACCAGATGGCACAATTTTCTTGTTTTTTAAATGTATGGATAGCCAGGGTCATACTCCAACACTCATACATCATTTAAAACAAAGCATTCGTGTCTAGTGAGTCAGATCAGAGGCAGTAGGGATGATCAGGGATGTTCTCTTGATAAGTGTGCGAATTGGACCATTTTCTGTCCTGCTAAGCATTCAAAATGTAACGAGTACTTTTGGGTGTCAGGGAAAATGTATGGAGTAAAAAGTACATCATTTTCTTTAGGAATGTAGTGAAGTAAAAGTTGTCAAAAATTGAAATAGTAAAGTAAAGTACAGATACCCCAAAAAAACTACTTAAGTAGTACTTTAAAGTATTTTTACTTCAGTACTTTACACCACTGAAAATTACTTACAACCGGTGAGCGCGGTAAGCTATACCAATTCATCCATTTCGCTTAAAAGGACCTAAAGAATTAGTCCTCACCTCATTGAGCCATTAAGTTGCGTGTTATGGTAAGGTCTGCAGCATTATGGTGATGAGCTCTGTTATGGAAAGGTCTGCAGCATTATGGTGATGAGCTCTGTTAGGGAAAGGTCTGTAGCATTATGGTGATGAGCTCTGTTATGGAAAGGTCTGCAGCATTATGGTGAAAGGTCTGCAGCATTATGGTGATGAGCTGTTTTAGGGAAAGGTCTGTAGCATTATGGTGATGAGCTGTTTTAGGGAAAGGTCTGCAGCATTATGGTTATGAGCTCTGTTAGGGAAAGGTCTGCAGCATTATTGTTATGAGCTCTGTTAGGGAAAGGTCTGTAGCATTATGGTGATGACCTCTGTTAGGGAAAGGTCTGCAGCATTATGGTGATGAGCTGTTTTAGGGAAAGGTCTGTAGCATTATGGTGATGACCTCTTGCAGAGAACACATATTGCAGCACACCATGTTCAGGAAGTGAATATATTATAAATTTAACTGCTACTGGTCTTTTCAGTATTTAATTGAACCTTTACCTGTATATGTGAAAGATTTGCTAAAGGTCAGACTGCATTAAATTACAAAGCTCCTCATAATCAGTGTTTAACTTGGATTGAAATAGGGGCTCGTACTCATTTTGGGTGCTGTTACTGTTTACATTTAGGGATCAGGAGCGCCACAATACTTTTGGACCTGCTACTGTCAGCTGTGTGCAGACTAGAGAGGTGTTATGGAAGTACCAATAGTGTAATCTCTGATACTCACATATAGTTTATAACACCTTTATATATGAAAGGGATCTATAAGCATTCATAACACCTGACATGAATGTTTCATAATACCTTTATGAGCATTGCAGGATCATTCATAACACCTGACATTAATGTTTCATAATACCTTTATGAGCGTTGCAGGATCCTTCATAACACCTGACATTAATGTTTCATAATACCTCATTGAGCGTTGCAGGATCCTTCATAACACCTGACATGAATGTTTCATAATAACTCTATGAGCGTTGCAGGATCCTTCATAACACCTGACATGAATGTTTCATAATACCTCTATGAGCGTTGCAGGATCCTTCATAACACCTGACATGAATGTTTCATAATACCTCTATGAGCGTTGCAGGATCCTTCATAACACCTGACATGAATGTTTCATAATACCTCTATGAGCGTTGCAGGATCCTTCATAACACCTGACATTAATGTTTCATAATACCTCTATGAGTGTTGCAGGATCCTTCATAACAGGCTTAGCACTATACACATTGGACAATTGTCAAAACCTTTACAGATATGTTTCAGAATGAGATTTGAAGTTTCCAGAATAACTATGCTCCTTTTTGAACTCCTCTCTTTTCATTATATTTCATTTGAACCAAGCGTAAAAAGTATGCTCGATGTCAACTCGGGACCTTATGGAATGGCTGGCAGGGTTCTGTGTAATCCTCCTCTTCAAAAGCAGCCAACCAAAGTAAAAGGCTAAAACACAGTTAAGCCTGAGGGCTACGATGCTCAGAACCCTTAACTACAGACATTTATAAATAATACAAAAGGAAAGAACCTGTCAGAAGAGATTTAAATCACAGCAGTGCTGAAATATAGTTTTAAGGGCAAAGTGTGAACCCACAAAATTCCACAATTTGGTTCCGCTCAAAGGGTTGGCCAGACGCAGGTTCTTAAGATTAATTGGCTGTTGAGAAAATAAGTTATCAATTTGACAGTCTTATGAAGGCAAGTATAATCCCACTATGTTCTACAGAGTGTTTTTGTGTTCATGAATAGTTCCGCATCATGATTCCACAGGGCTGCTTGTGTGTTCATGGATTGTTCAACATCACAAGTTTCCGCTTAATTCTGAGGACATTCATTTCATAGGCAAGTTCTTAGCTGTACCAGATTTATTTTTTATTTTTTTAACATTTGAACTGCAGACTGAAATAGGGAATGGCCTATCAAACAAAATGAAGCCCAATGAAATGACAGTCTCTCTTCATCATTCATAGACTGATCCCTTGAAAGCAGGAACACATGGTAATGTCCTGTGGCTCTGATTATGTCCTGTACTTCAGTGGACTGGGACTTTGTTGTTTACTGTAGAACACAAAATGGAGAATACAAACATGAATACGACATAGTGGACACTACGAAAGACAACACTATTATTGCACACAATTTGTTGTGTTTTTTTCCCTCACCCATCTGCACACAATACTCCATAATGACAAAGTGAAAACATGTTTTTAAATTTTTTTTTCCCAAATGTATTTCAAATGAGATACAGAAATCTCATTTACCCTGAGTCAATACTTTTGTAGAATCACATTTGGCAGCGATTACAGCTGTGAGTCTTTCTGGGTAAGTCTCTAAGAGCTTTCCACACCCGGATTGTGCAACATTTGCCCATTATTCTTTTCAAAATTATTCAAGCTCTGTCAAATTGGTTGTTGATCATTGCTAGACAACCATTTAAGTTTTGGCATAGATTTTCAAGCTAATTTAAGTCAAAACTGTAACTCAGCCACTCAGGAACATTCACTATCTTCTTGGTAAGCAACTCCAGTGTAGATTTTCCCTTGTGTTTTAGGTTATTGTCCTGCTGAAAGATGAATTTCTCCAAGTGTCTGGTGGAAAGCAGACTGAACCAGGTTTTCCTCTACGATTTTGCATGTGCTTGGCTCCATTCAGTATTTTGTTATGCTGAAAAACTCCCCAGTCCTTAACCCATAACATGATGCAGCCACCACTATGCTTGAAAATATGGAGAGTGGTACTCAGTAATGTGTTGTATTGGATTTGCCCCAAACATAACACTTTGTATTCAGGACAAAAAGTTAATTTCTTTGCAGTATTACTTTAGTGCCTTGTTGCAAATAGAATGCATGTTTTAAAATATTTGTATTCTGCACAGGTTTCCTTCTTTTCACTCTGTCAATTAGGTTAGTATTGTGGAGTAACTACAATGTTGTTGATCCATCCTCAGTTTTCTCCTATCACAGCCATTAAACTATGTAACTGTTTTAATGTCACCATTGTATGTGTGGGGTACAGAGATGAGGTAGTCATTCAAAAAACATGTTAAACACTATTATTGCACACAGAGTGAGTCCATGCAACTTATTATGTGACTTGTTAAGCGAATTTTTACTCCTGAACTTATTTAGGCTTGCCATAACAAAGGGGTTGAATACTTATTGATTCAAGACATTTCAGCTTTTCATTTTTAAAGAATTTGTAAAAGTTTCAACAAATATAATTCCACTTTGACATTATGGGGTATTGTGTGTAGGCCAGTGACAAAAAAACTCAATTTAATCAATTTCAAATTCCGGCTGTAACACAACAAAATGTGTAAAAAGTGAAGGAGTGTGAATACTTTCTGAAGGCACTGTAACTGCCTTAATTTAGCTGGACCCCAGGAAGAGTAGCTGCTGCTTTGATAGGAACCAATGGGGATCCATAATAAATCCCAGGAAGAGTAGCTGCTGCCTTGGCAGGAACTCATGGGGATCCATAATGAACCCCAGGAAGAGTATCTGCTGCCTTGGCAGGAAATAATGGGGATCCATAATAAACCCCAGGAAGAGTAGCTGCTGCCTTGGCAGGAACTTATGGGGATCCATAATAAACCCCAGGAAGAGTAGCTGCTGCCTTGGTAGGAAATAATGGGGATCCATAATAAATACAAATAGTGGGCCTTTTACACTAGGAAGGAAGGACATAGTGGGACAAGTTAAATCTCCAAAATGATCAACCATTGTGGTTCATGTCCCTCACAGTTTTACTCATTTTATGAGCAGTATCTGAAATGAGCAACAAAAAAAGTGTCAGAAATACTAAGGAGCAGTAGGCTTTAAACTGTTAAAATTCAATTTGCCTTCATTAGCTGAAGAACTGAACCGCGGAAGATAGGGATGCTACACAGAGCCACAACACAGAGCCATATGCATTAGTTCCAGTAGAATCTACACTGGGCACAGATCATTTGGATTTACATTTGGTAGAGTTGTCAACTAATGTGAATTCAACATGAAATCATCAAAACGTTTCACCATGTCATTGGATTTAGATTAAAAGTTGGGTGAAAACAAGATGGTTGTTGACGACTTTTTGCAAATCCAATTAGTTTTCCATGTTGATTCAACATCATCACATAGATTTTTGTTGGTTGAAATGACGGCTGCAACAACGTTGATTCAACCAGTTTTTTGCCCAGTGGGTCCTCACACATCACTGCTTTCAATGAGACTGTGAAAAGCATTGTGTCACTCATTTGATTGTTCATGTTAGGGCAGTAAATGGAAGGAGACAGACTGGAGGCACCTGCAGATATTTGATTTTGTTCTTGCTATTTATATCGAGTTGGTATGATCAGTACCGCCAAACTATGAATAACAATGCAGAACTAGTTCAGAAGAATTCTCTATTGACACTAAATTCCTCCCCAGCATAGTGGATTGAACACTAAATTCCTCCCCAGCATAGTGGATTGAACACTCCTGCAACAATACCAGGGCTAAATAAATGGATAGCCTATTTCTGCATTGCATGATATAAAATGCTGTTTGTTGAGCCCTTAAGGCCCACCCCCTTAAGGACACCCACCCCCTTAAGGGGGTGGGTGTCCAATTCTATAATTATTCAAAGCTCAGAGGGAGTTCGAGCATTTGCTTGGATGTCATTAATTTCACAATAAACCATAAACTATACTCTGACCCTGACAGCAGTTCCTAAGCGTTCACACAAAATGCATAAACAGAATCCTAACTGCTCCCTTTGTAAACCACCCACCTAAGATACCCCTCTCTAGAAACACAATGAAAATGCACATTATTTCAACTTTTGATCAGTAACCCCATCTTCTGATATCCCCCCGATTTTCCAGAAAAAGGTTTTAGTATGAGATGTTTAAAATAGACTGACATTTATTTTAAAAAAAATCCTGAAGTAATATACCGTCTATGTATAAATGTGGGATTGTTCTCTAAATTCAGCTCTGTCTCTCAACAGTCAAAGACCTACATGTGCAGCAGCCAGGGTAAAGTACTGTATTTCACCATAGACTTTGAATCAGGCTTCACTTGTTCCGAGAGCTCCTCGAAGGTGAGTAATTGTTCATTCACTATTCTAACTGAAACTTCAACAGTCGATCCAGTAAAGGGGATATTGTCCATGCTAGACTGGTTAATACCTACTGTTTACTACTGATTGGTCAAAAAATAATGAACCCTTGCTATATTTCTCACTGTTATCCCCCTGTAGAATATATTATGGAGATACAAATTCTCTCAACTGAAAGGCTCCTCTGATGATGGGAAAACAAGGGTGAAGCTCCTCTTCAGGAATGCTGAAAACAAACAGATAGAGAGGAAGGTACAGTGATGCTGCATATGACATCATCTCAACTTCCATTGCAGTGGCCTCTCTGAGGAGAGTATTGATAAGAGGGCAGAATGTTTGAATACTGTGGTCATATTACAATAGTATTGATAGACGGCAGAATGTTTGAATACTGTGATCACATATTAAAGTGGAACTGACAGCGTTTTAACTACAGTACTTTGCAGATATGAAACAAACAGACAATCATAATAATAAAAAATATAAAATTCCCAGTTTATGCTACAGAACTAACTTTATAAGAGGTTTTAAAAATAGGTTATATTTGTCTCAAAATTCCATGATGTACATTAAGTCATTGTTGGCAGAATAGATGGATGCAGTTCAATGCATGATTAATGTAATTCACCAATACATTTGTTGGTAGTCCAAAAAATATTGCTATCAGGTTGTAAATGTAAATGTAAATGTAAATCACAGCTACCTGGTACATTGTTTGCTGCCACCATTCGGGGATGCACTGTTTCAGTTTCAGTCACTCAGTATTTTGGACAAAAACGGACTAATGTAAATAAGGCTTGGAATGTCAATACAATCAAACTAGCAAGGGCAATGATCACAATGCAGTCATAACGTGTCTAATAGGCTAGCGTATCTATTTATTTAGCTATTTATTTAGCAAGCTAAAAACAAGGAGCCTAACGTTAGCTAGCTGCTGGGAGGATGTCATGTCGTTCATTGGAAGAGTGGGTGAATTTTCCCCTCATATCGTTTTTCACTGGCTACAGCTAGAGATGCCGGTGTCATTTGGTTAGCTAGCTAGCTAGCTATGCTGAACTTTAACGACTGTTATTCAGTTTGCATATCTCTTGCGTTCGTAAATTCACTCTGGCTATGTACTCGGATTTCAGTGTGCCAGAGTGCAGGTGATGAATTTACGAACGCGCAACTCCCGCTCAATATGACCGGTGTCAGTAAATGTCGGCAAACAGGAATTCAATTGTTGCCAGCAGCACAGTTAGTCACTAACACGCTAGATAACATGTAAACATCCTAGGGTGAGTAAAATTGTCAGCTAGCCAATTTCAGCCAGTTATCTTAGGTGCTTGACTGCTGTTGTGAGGAACGCTCGGATCAACCCTCGGCCAGAGCGTCCAGTGTCAATAGTGTGGTCTGAACGCAAATGCTCTTGAGTTTACAAACCACCCAGAGCGCACTCAGACACACTGGAGTCAATTTACGAATGCACCCTTAGTTGGAAATCAAATGTATTTGGCATCGATCAAATGGGCGAGCAGGCAAGTTCCCATTCAGTTGTCAAAACGTGGGTTGGGACAAGCATGCATTGGCAGGCAAGCTGCAGAAGGACGAGCAGGCTACTATTTCCCATCGTTTATCAGTGCAATTTTGACGGCCAACTAGCTGAAAATGTTTGAGAGGGTTTATCTGATGTTCCCTCGTTAGATTTTAGCTTACCTCTCTCTGGCTAGCATTAGTTGTTGATCTTTTTGATGTGCATAACTGATGGAGAGAGCCTACCGTTTCATGGTTGTTTGATCAATAGGGCTGTAAAGTTCCCAAATGTGAGAGGACTCTCGTGGTATTTCCATGTTTGCAGAAATCCATTCAGGTGTATTTTGTGGCTTTTGGTGAATGCGTTCTAATGATCTAAAGTCACTCTGTTGCTACTGCCTGTAAACACACAGTCCAGTTCAAAGTGAATGATGGCAGACCCGTGTGGCAAATGGCTTGTTTGCATGAAGGCCTACTGTAGCTCTGATTGACTATGGCACACCGGTCTGCGTAGACTCTGGTCCTGGACGAGATAGATGTTTTTATTAGGTTTTATTTACTGCAGTGACTATTAATTGTCCAAACGCATGGCCACTTTCCCACTCTATATTGCTATAGAATGTTCATAAATACTTTACTCTACGCCATTCCCAAACATTCTAAGAATTTATGAAAATTGAAAAATGACCATATCTAAGTGCTTGCTGTAAAAAAGGTGTCATATTCTTCCTGGGGGTGTATATGAACAGATTTTAATAAGATTTCATGTTGGTAAAATGCTGTCAGTTCCACTTTAAAATAGTATTGATAGGGAGCAGAATGTTTGAATACTGTGGTTATACTAAAATTGGCTTTTGCTACCTCATCAATATATACAGTGCCTTGCAAAAGTATTCATCCCCCTTGGCGTTTTTCCTATTTTGTTGCATTACAACCTGTAATTTAAATAGATTTTTATTTGGATTTCATGTAATGGACATACACAAAATAGTCCAAATTGGTGAAGTGAAATGAAAAAAATAACTTGTTTAAAAAAAATAAAAAAAATAATAATAACGGAAAAGTAGTGCGTGCATATGTATTCACCCCTTTGCTATGAAGCCCCTAAATAAGATCTGGTGCAACCAATTACCTTCAGAAGTCACATAATTAGTTAAATAAAGTCCACCTATGTGCAATCTAAGTGTCACATGATCTGTCACATGATCTCAGTATATATACACCTGTTCTGAAAGGCCCCAGAGTCTGCAACACCATTAATCAGAGAGGCAACAAAGAGACCAAAGATAACCCTGAAGGAGCTGCAAAGCTCCACAGCAGAGATTGGAGTATCTGTCCATAGGACCACTTTAAGCCGTACACTCCACAGAGCTGGGCTTTACGGAAAAGTGGCCAGAAAAAAGCCATTGCTTAAAGAACAAAATAAGCAAACACGTTTGGTGTTCGCCAAAAGGCATGTGGGAGACTCCCCAAACATATGGAAGAAGGTACTCTGGTCAGATCAGACTGAAATTGAGCTTTTTGGCCATCAAGGAAAACACTACGTCTGGCGCAAACCCAACACCTCTCATCACCCCGAGAACACCATCGGCAGGGACTGGGAAACTGGTCAGAATTGAAGGAATGATGGATGGCGCTAAATACAGGGAAATTCTTGAGGGAAACCTGTTTCAGTCTTCTAGAGATTTGAGACTTGGACGGAGGTTCACCTTCCAGCAGGACAATGACCCTAAGCATACTGCTAAAGCAGTTTTGCCTTGAAGAATGGGCAAAAATCCCAGTGGGTAAATGTACCAAGCTTATAGAGACATACCCCAAGAGAGTTGCAGTTGTAATTGCTGCAAAAGGTGGCTCTACAAAGTATTGACTTTGGTGGGGTGAATAGTTATGCACGCTCAAGTTTAGTTTTTTTGTCTTATTTCTTGTTTGTTTCACCCCAAAACATATTTTGCGTCTTCAAAGTGGTAGGCATGTTGTGTAAATCAAATGATACAACCCCCCCCCCAAAATCCATTTTATTTGCAGGTTGTAAGGCAACAAAATAGGAAAAATGCAAAGGCGGGTGAATACTTTTGCAAGCCACTGTAGAACCAAACTATTTCTGGTAAATGCCATGTGGGGAACAAGTAGAGTTATTATTATTATTATTATTATTATTATTATTATTATTATTATGAGTGCCTATTTGTTACAAAAGTAATTGTGAAATTTTTATGTATGCAAACATTATGTAAATGTTATGCAAACTGTTAAGAATGTTTTTCACAATTTGTATTCAGGGTTTTTCTTTTCGTTGCAGGAGCTGGAGTTTGCCAATCTGACGGCAGTCCTCCATTGTATTTCTTCTTTTATGGCTTCCAAAGTGGCCTCTGTGGACCAGGTCTTTGTCAACAGTCAAAGCAACTCTGGAAAGTACCTGAGTTAGACACTTCTTGGTGTTGTCATGTACATTTTAGTCACAAAAGCTAATCAACTATTTTATGCACATTCAAATTATATGTATATCTTGTTCCTGTTATTTTTGTAAGGCTCTTATTAAATAAGAAAAATATATTTAAAAAAAACACATCTGACTTTGGAAGTAGAGGATATTTATATTTGCATTAATTGGATGGTATTGACATATGAATATGATAAAGATTATTTCATTTTGTCCATGTAGAAAAACATCTGTCACAACAATGGTTTCTATGTTTGTTTGTGTGTATAGACACCGCACAGTTTTGAATTCATGTGTAGATGCAAGTTAACTTTTTTTTTCATATTTGCAAAGTAAAAGCAGAATCGATAGATTTTATACTGTACTAAATCAGCACACATGCAAACATTTTGGAATGTGTATTCTGCTGGGCTATACGCTCTCTGGTTATTCACTTATCCCATGACTTCAGCATAACTACAGATGCCGTGGATTGGGGAAAAGAGTGTCTGAAGTGTGTGTGTTGAGGCCCACACATGCAGATCTCGGGGCAGGCTTTCATGACCCCAGAGGGTATTTTTAGTTTGTATTTCAGTGTATACAGTCACTGCTAGTCACTGATAGGCTTCTATAACAAAGGGTTGTGTGGAATGATTTTCAAAAAAAGACTGGGGAAGAAGATGCAGGTTTATTGTAGCAATGGTGTCTTACTGTAACTATCAGGTGACTAAAATGTTAGTTTGTAAAGTTAAATCAACATTTGTTTTACGTTCTGTAGTCCTTTACTTTGTATGTAGCCATGCACTTTGACAGTCATTACAAAGCTTACGAATATATAAATGTTTATATTACCTCATTTGTTTTCTTATCTATTACAAATTAAATCCCGAATCATTCCTCCTTATTGTCAAATGGTTTTTTATTGAAGTCCTAGCACAACCTGATGTGTTCACAGCTATTGATGGTGGAAATAAACGCCGGCTAACAAATCAATATTCTTGATTTGCTGGGGAACATAAGACACCTGCTGCATGAAGAGTCTTGAAGAGGGTAACAAGGAAATTGAGACCACTGACACAAAAAAACTCTTAAATTAGACAGCAATAACATTTTGCAGCAAACTATCTTATCCCATTCCCATTCAAGGTCCTAAACGATATTATAACCGCGATCGATAACAGACTGTACTGTGCAGCCGTCTTCATCGACCTGGCCAAGGCTTTCGACTCTGTCAACCACAGCATTCTTATTGGCAGACTAAATAGCCTTGGTTTCTCAAATGACTGCCTCGCCTGGTTCACCAACTACTTCTCAGATAGAGTTCAATGTGTCAAATCGGAGGGCCTGTTGTCTGGACCTATAGCAGTCTCTATGGGGGTGCCACAGGGTTCAATTCTTGGGCCGACTCATTTCTCCGTGTATATCAATGATGTCACTCTTGCTGCTGGTGACTCTCAGATCCACCTCTACGCAGACGACACCATTTTGTATACATCTGGCCCTTCATTGGACACTGTTAACAAACCTTCAATGCCATACAACACTCCTTCAGTAGCCTCCAACTGCTCTTAAACACTAGTAAAACTAAATGCATGCTCTTCAATCAAACGCTGCTGGCACCCGCCCACCCGACTAGAATCACTACTCTCGACGGGTCTGACCTAGAGTATGTGGACAACTACAAATACCTAGGTGTCTCATTAAGAATCTCCAATCCAAAGTTAAATCTAGAATCGGCTTCCTATTTCGCAACAAAGCCTCCTTCACTCATGCTGCCAAACATGCCCTCGTAAAACTGACTATCCTACCGATCCTTGACTTCGGCGATGTCATTTACAAAATAGCCTCCAACACTCTACTCAGCAAATTGGATGTAGTCTATCACAGTGCCATCCGTTTTGTCTCCAAAGCCCCATATACTACCCACCACTGTGACCTGTACGCTCTTGTTGGCTGGTCCTCACTACATGTTCGTCGTCAAACCCACTGGCTCCAGGTCATCTATAAATCACTTCTAGGCAAATCCCTGCCTTATCTTAGCTCATTGGTCACCATAGCAGCACCCACCCGTAGTCTATGCTCCAGCAGGTATATCTCACTGGTCATCCCCAAAGCCAACACCTCCTTTGGCCTCCATTCCTTCCAGTTCTCTGCTGCCAATGACTGGAACGAATTGCAAAAATCTCTGAAGCTGGAGACTCTTATCTCCCTCACTAACTTTAAGCATCAGTTGTCAGAGCACCTTACCGATCACTGCACCTGTACACAGCCCATCTGAAATTAGCCCACCCAACTACCTCATCCCTATATTGTTATTTATTTTGCTCTTTTGCACTCCAGTATCTCTATTTACACATAATCTCTTGCACATCTAGCATTCCAGTGTTAATACTAATTGTAATTATTTTGCACTATTGCCTTACCTCCATAACTTGCTACATTTGCACACACTGTATATATATTTTCTGTTGTATTTTTTTGACTTTATGTTTTTTTACCCCATATGTAACTCTGTGTTGTTGTTTTTATCGCACTGCTTTGCTTTATCTTGGCCAGGTCGCAGTTGTAAATGAGAACTTGTTCTCAACTGGCTTACCTGGTTAAATAAAGGTGAAATAAAATAAAAATAAATTCTTAGACACAAAATGTGTTTATTGGGCTAACTTAAAATGCATGACTGAATTGTCTGTTCTATGTTCCAAGTTTTCTTTCAAATCCATCTCAGTAGAAGGCCAGTCCCTCAGGTTCTGCACAGCAGGTACCTCTTCCCAGTGGTTCAGAATGTCACATCACATGCATCTGTTGGTGCACAGTCTTTTACTTTTCTATACGATCGAGAAACCATTTCTGTATGGCCCTCGCTTTTTGCACAGGGGCATTGTCATGCTGAAACATGAAAGGGTCTTCCCCAAACTGTTGCCACAAAGTTGGAAGCTCAGAATTGTCTAGAATGTCATTGTATGCTGTAGCGTTAAGATTTCCCTTCACTGGAACTAAGGGGCCTAGCCCGAATCATGAAAAACAGCCCCAGACCATTATTCTTCCTCCACCAAACTTTAGAGTTGGCAATATGCATTGGGGCAGGCAGCGTTCTCCTGGCATCTGCCAAACCCAGATTCGTCCGTTGGACTGCCAGATGATGAAGCGTGATTCATCACTCCAGAGAACGCGTTTCCACTGCTCCAGAGTCCAATGGCGGTGAGCTTTACACCACTCCAGCCGACGCTTGGCATTGCGCATTGTGATCTTCGTCTTGTGTGCGGCTGCTCGGCCATGGAAACCCATTTCATGAAGCTCCCAACGAACAGTTATTGTGCCGACGTTGGTTCCAGAGGCAGTTTGGAACTCGGTAGTGAGTGTTGCAACCGAGGACAGACGATTTTTACGCACTACGTGCTTCAGCGGTCCCATTCTGTGAGCTTGTGTGGCCTACCACTTCGCTCTGAGCCATTGTTGCTCCTAGTCCTAGATGTTTCCACTTCACAATAACAGCACTTACAGTTGACCGGGGCAGCGCTAGCAGGGCAGAAATTTGACGAACTGACTTGTTGGAAAGGTGGCATCCTATGACGGTGCCACGTTGAAAGTCACTGAGCTCTTCAGTAAGGCCATTCTACTGCTGATGTTTGCATGGAGATTGCATGGCTATGTGCTTGATTTTACACACCTGTCATCAACAGGTGTGGCTGACATAGCCGAATCCACTAATTTGAAGTGGTGTCCACATACTTGTGTATATATAGTGTATGTCTCTGTGAGAGAAATCAGGCACCATGAAGAACATGAAGACCTTCTAGGAACATCCTGAAGTCATAGCCGCAGGAAGTAGGGGTGCTGGGGGTGCTGCAGTGACCATATCCTTCCACCGAACAGAAGTCTCTGCCTGCTTGGTAATGTTATGCAGTTTCATCAGCAGTTTGTCAAGTATGGAGCTTAAATACCTTGCTCAATCTACCAGGGGGAATGCCACCCACTCTTGACGACACGGGCAACAGTAAGCTCTGAATGCTAACTGGAGCGTTCTGATTAGGAGCTTCTGAGGGCGGATCCGGGAGCTCTTATTCCATGAAATCCTGAAGCCTGTTTTAGAGAACTGGAAAACAGGTTACTGTAGTGTTGAATTAAGCCAATTACAAATTACAGTGTGAGAGGACAGAAGTACAGGGACGGCAGCAGCAGTAGATTAGACTGTTCTATGTAGATTAGACTTTACTCAGTAGAATAGACTGTTTTCTGTAGATTAGGCTGTTCTCTGTAGATTGGACTGTTATCTGTAGATTAGACTTTACTCTGTAGATTAGACTGTTCTCTGTAGATTAGACTTTACTCTGTAGATTAGACTGTTCTCTGTATATTAGACTGTTATCTGTAGATTAGACTTTACTCTGTAGATTAGACTGTTCTCTGTAGATTAGACTTTACTCTGTAGATTAGACTGTTTTCTGTAGATTAGACTGTTTTCTGTAGATTAGACTGTTATCTGTAGATTAGACTGTTCTCTGTAGATTAGACTTTACTCTGTATATTAGACTGTTTTCTGTAGATTAGACTGTTATCTGTAGATTAGACTGTTCTCTGTAGATTAGACTGTTCTCTGTAGATTAGACTTTACTCTGTAGATTAGACTGTTCTCTGTAGATTAGACTGTTCTCTGTAGATTAGACTGTTTTCTGTAGATTAGACTGTTCTCTGTAGATTAGACTGTTATCTGTAGATTAGACTTTACTCTGTAGATTAGACTGTTCTCTGTAGATTAGACTTTACTCTGTAGATTAGACTGTTTTCTGTAGATTAGACTGTTTTCTGTAGATTAGACTGTTATCTGTAGATTAGACTGTTCTCTGTAGATTAGACTTTACTCTGTAGATTAGACTTTACTCTGTAGATTAGACTGTTTTCTGTAGATTAGACTTTACTCTGTAGATTAGACTGTTTTCTGTAGATTAGACTGTTTTCTGTATATTAGACTGTTATCTGTAGATTAGACTGTTATCTGTAGATTAGAC